ATAATATATATATTGAATATGAATCATTAAGTAATTAGTTTCTTGTACATTTGATAGACTGTCAAATGTGGAAATTATTTAATAAATTGTTTTACTAAATTTTGTGACTACTAACTGGTTTTTGACACTTTTTCTAAATTTGTTTTTGTTAGGAATAAATGTATGTGGGAAAATGTATGTCAGCAATGAGTTATGTTTCTTTAAGAAATTTACTTTCAGGTAAATATAGATTTCTGAACATGGGGCACCTAATTGATCTTTTATTTTTGTGTCAGACTTGGTTCAACAGGATGAATTTACTATTTTCTTCCTGTATATTTTATTATTGTATCATACCTTGTAGAAGTTGTTACATAATAAAATGTTAAATAAAACATTGATGAATACTAATATATAAATTTATACTAGTAAATTTAGTTAATTAGTTTGTATCAATATATAATTAACAATGATTATATTTAGTAAAATTTATTGTTTTCAAGCTCTCATCTACTCAATGATACAAAATTGACCAGTTAAAATTTTAAAGTAGTGCAATTATTATTATAATTTCATATTGAGGTTATAGAAATATTTTCCTTTGTTGTAATATTTTTTTCTATCATTTTCATTTGTTGAAATATTTTTTTGTTTCTTAGTCTTAATGAAACTGCATTAAATTAAAAAATAGAATGTATTATTTTTAAACAACTTTGGAACTAAAGAGTTTCTTGCAGATCTTTTATTTGTGTATGGAGGTCTACATTTCATTTATGATTTATTGATTATGATTATCATCAATGATTTATTTTTTAAAAGAAATTTTTTTTCAACATATGTTAATTTCTGTAAAAAAGCAGTTATTTACTATTTATCATTATATTCAATGTTGTATTAAGAATAAAAATAATTATATTTATACCACTACATAAATGAATATTTTAAAGTTTTTGTGAGAGTTAACTCTACAGTTTTATATAGTTAAAACTATCAAAAATTTGTATACTTGTAAAGAGAGGGCAGTTTGCCTTCAAGATTGTAAATTTAGAGTTTCAGAACACAAGACATTTTGTGATTTTACCTGCTTTTATTTTATTTCAATTTTCAGTGGTCAATGTAAACAGAAATAGGATCTGTTTCAGAAAATTTTGGATCTTAAAGTAGCTTTTATATAAAGGGCCCTTCACAAAAATTCAAGCTTTATGAACGAAACCATGATTCAAAACTACTTTTGAACTTTGTAGCATGTCCATTAAACTACTAAAAGGATCCTTTCACAGAATTCATATTTCATGTACCAAAGAAAAGGGAAATGTAACTATTCTATCTAACAACAGAGAAATTAGTTTAGTCTAATTTGCCAATATCTTTAGTTAATAACGAGCCATAGTTTTTAGTAAAAATAATTTTCTCAAAGTTCTCTTTATTATTTTTTTACAAGATTTTTAAAATTGGGACCTGAAAAGAAATCCTAGGTTGGCCACTGATTTTATTTTTATACCAGATTTTGTTTTTAACTCCATGTATATTTTGTATAATCTTAGGATCTTACACTCTTCCACTAATTTTTAAAAAAAATGTTTTCAAGTTTTAATCATTTTAACCAAAATGGTTAATATTCGTTTTAGGTTAATTCTCTGAATTTCATGCCTTTAATTAACTGTGAAAGTGAAGAATGTCGAGTCAATAAATCTGGTGGAAGACTTTATTTGCAAACTAGAGGCTCAAAGTTCATCAAGTTTCAAGAAATTAAAATTCAAGAGCTGGTAAGTAGTAGCTGGTACAAATGTTGAAAGTACTACTAAATTTTATAACAAATCGAACAGTTTTTTAAATAAATCCTCCACATTCATGAGTGATATTGTTGGCAATTGAGGATTTTTTTTAAAATTAATCGATGATTTTTTTTTTAACTAATATGTTGTATGTAATTCTTATGAATATATTTTTTTTACAAGAATTTTTCCATTTTGAAAAAAACCTATTTCTTACTGTTTCTTTGTTGTTGTTGTTTTTTTTTTTTTTTTTTTTTTTTTTTTTTTTTTTTTTTTTTTTTTTAGTTTTTTATTTCCTCTGCTTTTTCACTCAGGGAGAAATTTGCTGCCCCTGCAAAATTAAGACAGTATTTGTCTAGAATTTTAAATTAGAAACATAAACATGTTTTTGCAAGCTTTAATATTGCTATATATTTATTAATTTTATTATTAAAATGTTAAGGACTGTAATTATTGGTTAATTAAAATCATATCTTTGTTTATGAATGTTAATGGAATGTATTGTCTATTATTTTTGTTTCTTCTAAAATAAATCTATAATAAAACTAATTTCAGTATTTTCTGTAAAACTTCAATACATAGATCTGAATAATTCTTACTACAAACTAATAAAAGTGATGGTAGTCAAACCAGCTATTTTTATACTAATCTTAGGTAAACTTAAAATTTTAGAGTGAACAAGTTCCTGAAGGTAATATACCTCGTACAATGACTGTGCATGCAAAAGGAGAGATGACTCGCTTAGTTCTCCCTGGTGATCACTGCGGCGTTACTGGAATTTTCTTGCCCATTGTCCGTACTGGTTTCAGGCAGATGGCTGCTGGTTTGATGACAGATACATTCCTAGAAGCACATGTACGTTCCTTTTACTGTAAAATTTTATTTTTCTTTCTGAAGCTTTGTTATATGATCTATTATTTTTAAGTATACATTTGACTCTTTCCTGTTGGTTGTTAAACCCTTTCTCTGTACTAAGAATTTAAATGTAAGATTATAAATATTAAGTAAAAACCAACTGTCTTGACTTTTGTATGTTTTAAAGAATTTCCAGGAAATAATGAAAAATTCTGGAAAAAATTTAGTTTGAAAATTATATTTTTTACTCAGCTTATTTCCTAAGTATTTAAATGAGCATTACTGCTACATAATGAAGTATGTTTCATTTATTGTATTCAATAGCTTTTCTTTATTCAGTTTTTCTTCTAAACTCTCTTTTTAAATTAATTGAAGATTTTGTTAGAATTATTTAAAATGAGTCAAATCTATTGTTATGTAAAGCTTTTAATCATTTAAAGCTGTAAGCATAAATTGTGGTCTGCTGTGACTAGCTATGAAAGTATACATAAGAAATGCAGTTAAAATTTTGTTTTAGAATAATTATATTGCTATTATTAACCTTTTGCTTAAAAACCAAATTTTTAGAGAATTGTAAAAATGAATAAAACAGAAGATGATGAATTAAATGAGACTGATATGACTCAGGCTGAAGCAGAAGAAATCAGAAGTTAGTACTAATTATGTCAAGTTTTTATTTCGAATTATAAGGAGTAATTCATTCCAAAACTTAATTAAATTAATAATCTCAAACTATATTTTAGACAAGTTCAACTATGACATGATGGCAAGTAGCATTGCCCCTGAGATCTTTGGTCATCATGATGTCAAAAAAGCCTTGCTCTTGCTGCTTGTAGGTGGTGTCGATAGAAATCCCAGTGGGATGAAAATTAGAGGTATATTTAAGCTATTGTTTGATTTCTCAACATCTTAGGTAACAAGTATTTTTTTTTTAAAAATTCCAATTGTTTATTTTAGGTAACATCAATATATGTTTAATGGGAGATCCTGGTGTTGCAAAATCCCAGCTTCTGTCCTACATAGATCGCTTAGCTCCAAGAAGTATGTTTTTATTTTCCTTGCATTATTAAACACTTGTCTTTCTTAATAATATTATTATAAACAAACTTATTTTAAGAATTTTTGAAGCAAAGTAAACAACAGTTGTTTCTAAAAGAAAAGAAAAGTTTTAAATGTTATGTTTCTTTTCATGGAGGACATCCAGTTTTTTCTTATTCTAATTTTTTTAGCTGTCAAAAATATGAGTTGCAGCTATAGAAGTTATTTGAAGGAAGAAACATATATGAGTGTTTTATTGTACATTTCTGTTTTTTTTTTCTGCATATTTTATAGGATTCATATTAGCTCTGATAAAAAATATATTTTGTTCTAATTTTTAACTTGATTTTTGTGTGTATTCGGAACATCCTCTTTTCTAAAAATACAAATGTGTATTTTTAAAAAATTGATTTGAAGAATCAAAAAATGGGGATTCTTAAACAAATATTTTTTCATTTTGATTAATAATGCTAGTAGAAATTGCATAATTTGATAGTTCCAATTTAGGGGCTGCCTACTAATTATTTACATCGTTTAGATACATAGCCATCCCCTCAGAATCAATTGTTTAAACCTTTTTAAAAATTATTATGGTGATGACTTCAGGGATCATACGCTTATTTGTTATTTTCAGCAAATGCGGTATAAAATCTTGAAACGTTTTTCTTTTTAGTTTTATAATTATTGATTCATCTCTTTCAAGTAAATTTAAAAATGATGATTTCAATAAATATTAAGTTCAGTTTTGTTAAAATTATACTGGAAAAGGTGAAAACTTTCTGTTCTAAACAAAGTAATACTGAAATTAAAAAGAATATATTAAATTTTTTGCAATAAAATTTACTTTTATTTTATTTAAGTAGAGCAAATTATACCTTTTTTTGTTTGGTTGTTTACCTTTCTTAAAAAAAAGTATGGTATAAGTATACTGTTTCAAAAATATCCTGATTTTGTTTTCTTTTGTCCACTATAAAGAGTAATTTAACAATGGTTGAAAATGGAGCAATTTACCAATAATAATGACATATATATATATGTACTTTATTAGTTGTCAGATTCATTGAAAGATGTCTTAACATTTATGATGTTTAATATATTTATCATGTAGGTCAATATACTACTGGTCGTGGTTCTTCTGGGGTTGGTTTAACTGCTTCGGTTATGAAAGATCCTGTTACTGGTGAGATGGCTCTTGAAGGTGGAGCTTTGGTCCTTGCTGACAAAGGAATATGTTGCATTGATGAATTTGACAAAATGATGGACTCTGATCGAACTGCTATCCATGAAGTTATGGAACAGCAAACAATTTCCATTGCTAAGGTTTGTATTTTGGAATACAGTAGAGCGCCGATTATCCGAACTGCTCGGGACCGAACATGGGAACGGATAATGAAAGGTTCGGATAATTAGAAAACTGTTTAAAATCTAGTGTACATGATTGTTATTTATGCACTAACTTCCCTTCGCACCTTTTGTAGCCTTCGGATTGGTAGTACTATCTATCATAGCTTTGGCGTGTTTAAAAAAATTTTTTTCTTCAATTTTTAAATATTTTTAATTAACTTTTTTTAAAACTTTTTTTCATTTTGAACTATTTTCGTCATATTTCAGTTTTTTATAAATTTTTTTGTCAATTACCGATTTTACCGCATTTTTCATTATTTTCCATTGCAAAAAAAATCCAGCAAAGATTTCGTTTCAAAGAAGATGTGTTTTTTTTAGCAGCCATATATCCCTTATTCTTTTTAAATAGATCAACTGACCTAGATCAACATCATTTTGACGTTCTAGCCAATTCGTTGCAATATCTAATGAATTGCATGCTTCTATATGAGAAGGTCCACTATCTTGAACTTGATCACTTACTTCTTCCTCTTCGTCTGTGGAGTTCCGATTTTCATTCAAAATTTCAGCAACAATTTCCTCATTTTCATCCAAAAGATCTACTGGTTCAGAAACTTCAGTTTTTTCTGTTAAGAATTTTATTCCAAGATTTATTATTCCAAGCACTGTAATCACTAATCATTAAACATAAGTGACAACTACCCATTCCCCAATTATAAACCTTCAGCACTTAACTATTCATAAACTTCTTCTGCATTCCAACCATTGTAGACAATCAAAATTAAGCTCGCATTTTTGGAAGATAATGTTCAGTTGTAAAGGGGTAGGTAGGTTTAACAGTATCACCATACATGTATCTATGGCTGCTATAACAAAACTGCTCAAAAAGGTTGCAAATTAAATATGGTCTTCAGATGTAGGGGATATTATTTATTCTTCTTAATTTAGAAAAATTTTCAAGAGGTTAAAAAAATATATATAACGAATTCAGACATAGTTCGGATAATTGGACGTTCGGATAATTGGCGCTCTACTGTACTCAATATATTTTGCTTTTAGAATAATTAGTGTGGATATCACTAAATTAAACAGGTTTTGTATAAGGCTATGTGAAAGGATAGAAATTATTTTTTTTAATTATAATTATCTGTTTCTCTTTATATATACACTTAGATAATTAAAAAATTCATGTATTTTTTACAATACTCCATCACACAAAAATGTGTTCTTAGTTTCTTATTTTTATTCATGGAAGCTCACCAATAGATTATTTATTTTATATAAAAAAAAATTAACATTTCTACTTTGAAAAAACTTATAGTAATATTAAATGTTTGAGTTCATCTCTAAAGTTTATTCATATTGAATGTTATGATTTTACATTTTAGGATGTTTTCTGAAAAATTTAAACACTCAAACATGGATCACTGTGCCCTGCTCTCTCTTATGTGAAAGCAAAACAAAAAATGAAATAATCATAAAATCTTTAAATGTACATGTATTCACAAACCGTAAATATATTTTCAGACTAAATTATACTTAATTTCCTTTCAGGCTGGAATCTTAACTACTTTGAATGCAAGAGTGTCCATTTTAGCAGCTGCAAATCCTGCTTATGGTCGTTACAATCCTAAAAGATCTATTGAACAAAATATTCAGTTGCCTGCTGCATTGTTGTCACGTTTTGATCTGCTGTGGCTTATACAGGATAAGCCTGACAAAGAAAATGATCGAAGGTACGTACTTTAATGAAAAAGCTTCTTGTGAAATTTTAACTCTTCTTTTTATTGATGTTTGTCTGTGATTTTAGTAAGTTAAATAATAGTAATAGTAAGTCCCTTTACATTATATGATTACCAAAATTCTCTGTTTGACTTGCATCAAATAGAAAAGATCTAATATTGTAAGAATAATTTAAATAAATTAAGTACAAATATTGAAACTTTCATGGGCTGGTTTGATTTTATCTTGAGGATAATTCTGGTTTAAAAAATTTGCAAAGCAAAATTAAGAAAAAGGCTATTGACATCGTAGTAAAATTTTACTCACAAAATAGTAAAATTTTGAAAAGGAAAACATTTTGTTGCAAAAGTTTAAATAAATTAAAGCTTCATTTTTTGTACTTCATTTTATTGTTTTGATATGTAACTTAGGTAGAGAGTAGTAAGAAAAAAAGATTAAATGGGGATTTAAAAATGAAGAAAATAGCTTATATGTTAACCAGAAAAGCGGTATTTAAGCATGTTTCTTTATACCAGAAAAAAAAATTCTGATTCTGTTTGCATAACCATTTAAAAGATATGTTAAATTTCATTGCTTTTAGCTTAAAAATAGATATGGTTTAACTGTTAACTATATTGTCAAACCATCCTATGTCTATATTGTAATTGTTCTGCATTTAAAAATATAAATCTGTTTCAAGAGCCTATGCATGATAATAGTATAGTACATATGCAAAGCGCTTTTATATTATTCAATGCAACATTTTAACATGTTTCTATTTCAGACTGGCTGACCATATCACTCAAGTCCATATGCATTGTCGAGAACCTCAAGCTAATTTTGATCCCATGCCAATGAACTTACTAAGAAAGTATGCTCAGTATTGTCGAAGGATTAATCCCGTTGTTCACGAAGAGCTGACTGATTACATTGTTAGTGCATATGTTGAAATTAGAAAAGAAGCACGAAACAGCAAGGATATGACTTTTACATCAGCAAGAAACTTATTGGGAATACTGCGTTTAGCTACAGCTTTGGTAATCTATTCGTCTTGTATTTTCAAATCTTTATTTATGTATTTTAATTCAATTACATGACTGGTGTTTCGTTTTTATTCAGTTTGAAGCAAAAATAAATAAATTAAAAAATTGAGAAATTTAACTCCAGCAGTTTATATCTTCAATATACTGTGTTCTCTTCAATGACTTATATCTTTTTGGGGGAAAAAGGTGGAATTTTAATGTATAGTTCAGAGATTTTAATGAATAATTTAGAGGTGAATTGTTGAGAACCTCAGTCAAATTTTGTACACAAATGAAACTAATTTTTTTAACCTCACAAATTACAATAGATCCATGGTAATATGCTGTATGATTGATTACGAAACTGTCGATTAAAAACCTGATTCTGATGTGAGCAGCTTTACCATTAATCTCTTAGAGCCTAATACCTAGTTCACTTTGATAACTTAAGATTCTGTGGCTGGTTACTCTATCAATCTAAAAACACCAGAAATCTGGTATTGTTTGATAAGCCACCATAGCTTTGCCAAACTTTATCTTATTTTACCTATTAAAATGAACATTCCAGTTTTGTTGCTGTTTCTACATTACATGTCATCTTTGTTACTTATTATGGTAATCATATTGTTTGTTTTGCCAAAGAACATAAAAATTTTCTTCAATTAAGTTAATGGAGTGCATTCAATACTCACTGAATGTGAATAATTTTTTACTTTTATTTCATTCCATTTTATACATGCCATTATTTAATTCTCAATATACCTGTAAGGAATCTGATTCATGTAATAAAATTAGTTAATGCAGTTAAAAATCAAGTTTGTTTGAAAGTATTTATTACAAAAAAGTAACTGAAATATAAATTTTTTGTTATTTGTGCAGAGTGGAAATAAAAAGGGAAAGTAGTTGTGATTAATTCAAATAATTTTACTTTTATTATAACTTTACTTAATAACATTTACTTTTATTGTNCACTCAAGTCCATATGCATTGTCGAGAACCTCAAGCTAATTTTGATCCCATGCCAATGAACTTACTAAGAAAGTATGCTCAGTATTGTCGAAGGATTAATCCCGTTGTTCACGAAGAGCTGACTGATTACATTGTTAGTGCATATGTTGAAATTAGAAAAGAAGCACGAAACAGCAAGGATATGACTTTTACATCAGCAAGAAACTTATTGGGAATACTGCGTTTAGCTACAGCTTTGGTAATCTATTTGTCTAGTCACTTCAAATCTTTATTTATGTATCTCACTTCAAATCTTTATTTATGTATTGAATTGTAGCACAATTCAATTGCATGACTGGTATTTCTTTTTTATTAAATTTGAAGTTAGAATAAATAAATGAGAAACTTAACTCTTGCAGTTAAGATCTTCCATTATCTATGCTCTCTTCAATAACTTATATCTTTTGGAAGAGAAAGAAATTTGCTTTTTTATGTATCGGTTAGAGGTGGATTGCTGAGAACCTCAGTCTATCAAATTTTGTACGAAAATGAAACTAATTTTTTTAACCACACAAATTACAGTAGATCCATAGTATTGTACTGTGTGTTTGGTTACGAAGCTGTCGATCAAAAAATAATTCTAGTTTAAGCAGCTTTACTATTAATCTCTTAGAGCCTAATACGTAGTTCACTTTGATAACTTAAGATTCTGTGGCTGGTTACTCTATCAACCTTAAAACACCAGAAATCTGGCATTGTTTGATAAGCCACCTTGGCTTTTATTGCTGTTTCTACATTATATGTCATCTTTGTTACTTATTAATGGTAATCATATTGTTTGTTTTACCAAAGCACATAAAAAAAAATTTCAATTAATTTAATGAAGTGCATTCAAAACTCACTGCAAGTGAATAATTTTTTACCTTTATTTCATTCCATTTTATACATACCCTTATTTAATTCTCAATATACCTTTAAGGAATCTGATTCACGTAATAAAATTAGTTCATGCAGTTAAAGATCAAATTTGTTTGAAAGTATTTATTTCAAAAAAGTAACTGAAATATTAATTTTTTGTTGTAAAAAGGGAAAGTAGTTGTGATTAATTCAAATAATTTTACTTTTATTATAGCTTTACTTAACAACATTTACTTTTATTGTTACTTTCTTCATTTGCAACTTTAAAAAAAAAAAGTTGGCTGCTCTAAATCTTAATTACTACTACTCTAAAACCTAAAATAGTGAACTATTCTTAAAGCGTCCTGGTAAGAGACTACTGAATACACAAATTTCATTGTTCTTAAAAAATGCAAATCAGTTTTTTTTTTTTTTTTTTTTTTTTTTTTTTTTTTNGAACAAAAAAAAAAGGTCATTTGTTTTCTGAAATTATATATCAAGAGGTCAGTAATGAAGCAGTATTAATTATAATAATGAATTATAGTGTCACTGTACTGAAAGTTTTTATCATTTATTTAGGCTCGGCTAAACTTGCGTGAGAGTGTTGTAAAACAAGATGTTGATGAAGCCATCCGATTGTTAGAAATGTCAAAATCATCTTTAAATCAAAGTCAGCAACCAGGTGGAAGGTACTGTTCTTTGTTTATTCCCTTGACACATTGAATGCTTTAGTTAAGCTGCAGAACCATGAATTATCGATCTTCTTTCGGTATAACCACTGAAGTCATTAGCAGTTGGGAAAGAACATATTGGATAAAAAACACCACTAATTATTTTTAAAAAATAGAAATTTCTGGCATAAGTATTTCAAAGCTATAAACAAATTTTGATGATTCATTGTCATTTGATCATCTTTGATACTAATTTTTAAAAAAAAAATAATAATAATTTCAATATTATGGTTGTCTTTTGAGATTTCATAATTTCGAGTTTTTTTAGTACTTTAACATAAAACTTAACAAAATATTCGTCAAGCTGTAAAAATAACTGTGTATCAAAATAAACAAGTCTTTTTTTTTTATTTGTTGTGACAATGTTTAATCTTTAAACTTCCTCAAAATCAAAAGACATATTCACTCCACAGGAAGGGGTATGCCCATAATTAATGGTTTCCCACATTACTTGAAAGTTCTTAAATTTTGTTGTGGAAAAAATCAGGGCCCCATTAAGTCTGAATTTCATGATCGTGCCTTTGAAAAGTTTTTGATTTTCTCTGAATAATTTTCAAGATAATAATATCTTTCGTGCAAAAAAGCATGAAAATAAAAAGAAGCTTCAAACGCAATTATAGAAATTTCAATCACTCTTCCTTCTCTCACAGTTTTCTTGACAGAAGAAAAGTTCAAGGTCAGTTAAGTTAGAGCCTAATCTAAATTTAGAAAAAGACCCTTTATCCCTATTTACCACTCTCTGGTGATTGACTTACTAAATAAGAGTAGAGTTGGGGAAAGCAATAGTGAAAATATATATATATTGAACAAAATCATGTGGTGCACATGATTTTGTTATTTTCTTTTCACTATTAGCCAGTTTTTACCACATGTAGTGTGCTTTAATTTTGAAACAGGGGCTGTTTTTGAAATTTTTTTATTTGCTAATGTGTGCAAATTTCGATTTAAAAAGAATTGATGAGGCTTACTGAATTCGGATGTTTATTTTGTTTTTTTCCCTTTCCAATGCCGAAAATTTTGAATAGAAGCTATATAGAATGCTGTTAAATATGAAATGGTTAAGAAATTTGCTCTCACACAATTTTCAAAAAGCTCCAATGAGTATTGAGTAAATTCTTGAAGGTGAAAGGGAAATACATTATTTTTCTTTCCAGATTATGATTCACCTTGAGTTTTAGAAAATTGTCAAATAATTTTGGTTTTTGTACATAGTTTTAATTTCTGCTCAATATGCAGTGTTTCTTCAAATTTTAAATATCAACTTCATTATTACAGGGGATTAATATTGTTATCCTTAATGCTTAAATATTCGTTGTTTTAAATTTTTAATTAAGATCGGTAATTATTGTATTGTTTATGTTTACAGTGTTACATTTAATATTTACTGCTTAATAGATAAAATGTAGTTCTTTAGATTCCAGGAATTTTGAATCAATCATCATGCTTCGCATGAAAGTGATTTATAAATCACTCATTGTGGTTTGCATTAAACGAACCGCACGTTGCAATTTGCATTAAAGTGAGTTCCGAATTATACAAAGTGATACGCATTTAAATGTTTTCTAAATCATGCATTAGGATTTGAGTTGAAGGATTTAAGAATTGCCATACATGATTCTCATCAAAATGATTTAAGAATCACAGACAGCGATTCTGATTTAAGATTCTTATTAAATTACAAATCTTCCTTGATGAAAAATTTATTAACAAATCTCATATTAGTGTGGTTTATGTAGCACTCATCATGATTTACCACTTGTTACTATGTGTGTTTTTCAAACTATATAATTTGTTATTCATATTGTCCTGATTTACGAAACATAAGTTGAATTTCAATTCGTAAATCATACATTGTGATGCATAATTTACACGATCTTCACATTTCATATAATTTCGTATAATCATATGCGCGCAATTTAAAAATTACGTATAGTGTTCACAACATTTTAAGAAATAGTGCTTTGCGATTTATGGTCTATTTTAAGGAAATTAAAGTTTAATAAATTTTAGTTTGTTATCTGTAGAATATTTTACTGCAAACAGTTTTATTTTGCTCAAAATACCATTACCAATGTTCTGAGGTTATGAGAAAATATTGTATTATAAAATTGAAACAGATATGCTAAATGGATACATTTTGAAATTTTATCTAATTATGTACATTTTCTATGAACTAAAATTTGATTTAAAAAAAGTTAATAATTAAAGTTTATATTTTAATAAACTTGCAATTTTACATGATAAGTTCTTAAAATTATTTCTTATATTGCTTGTGTATTGTCATATTATTTTTCAATTAATTGTAATACACTTCATAAAATTTTTCATGAAAAGTAACTTTTACAACTTAGTTGTACTAGTGCCAGTCTTTATTAGTTGATGCGTACTGATGATTTTTTGATAGTTTGATTTAAACCGCAATGCAACTATCATTTGCATTAGTAGCTGTGAAATTATGTAAAATTTATAAACTTAATCTATATGCTTTTTCTATGTCAACTAAGCATTATGCTTTAAAAGTATACTATTTCTGCTTCAATGTAATAAAACCTGGTTGATGTGTATTTTAGAATACTGGCTATGTTACTGCGTAGGTCTTTGGAAAATTTGTTTTTAGGTCCTTGAAGATCTTTAAAAAATCCTTGAATTTTTTTTAAAAAAATTTTGCAAATAGAGTGGGAAGCGAGTGGGAAAAAAATAAAGTAAGAATTCTGAATAAGTGCCAGAAACCGGAATAATTTTAAATGGAACTGGGTCCTTTTAACCATAATAGTAGTATTTAGATTTCTTTTTCCTATAACTTGAAATTACAGGAATGAAAATTTTGAAGTAAGTAAACAAGTATTTCAAGGTAAAATTGTAGTATACCTTGTAATTTTTCAACCGAGCTCTTTTCACTTATGGGGAAATTAAACAGCTAACAGAAAGGAAAAATAAATATTAATCAAACTAACATGTTGTAAATGAAAATGGTTTCAGTTAAAGTTTTTAAATAAAATATAATGTGCCAGTAAAATCCAACTATATTCAAAATGTAACTTTCTGCTTAATATTTTTATCAATAATATATCTTCCTTAATAAAAGTTATAACTTACATCTTTAATTTTTTAAATGAACATAATAGTTATAAAGAAATCATAATTTTTGAAGATTTAAACCTTTTGACACCTTTTTGAAAACATTTATAAAATTTCTTTAGCTAGTTACATAGTTTTTTTCCATATAATAAAGATGCAAGGTACTGTACATTAAGCATGCAAGAGCTACCCCCCAATCCACAGAGTGTGTACCCCTAGTTCAGTTTAGGACCTACTTATGTTATTTTAAGTTTTCAAAAGTAAAATAATTAATATTGTTGAATAACTTCCAGGGCCCAAACTGCAACAGATCAAATTTTCAACATCATCCGTGACATAATGGCAGAAACTGAATGTAGAACTGTTAAAATGGCTGATGCACAGGAAAGATGCCTGGCTAAGGGTTTCAATCCTGGACAGTTTGAAGAAGCAATTGAAGAATACGAAGAGTTAGATATCTGGCAAGTGAATCAATCCCGCACCAAGATAACATTCATCTAAAGATAAAAGACTCTCCATTTTTATACTTGTTTCTATGTTTGTCATGTTTACTTTTTGTCAAATAAACATATTTTTACTGTATTTGCTTTATTATTATTATTTATATATAATATATATAAAAAGATCTATTGATTTTCTAAGGCCGGGATAGCCTGGTCAGTAGGGCGCTGGGCCCATGTCCGAGAGTTCGTGGGTTCAAACCCCGCAGGCCGAAGACTCCCCGGGTAGTAAAGTGACTGATACACGTTAAATCTGTCGAGTCGCAAAAGTCCTCCATGTTCCCATAACAGATCAATACCTCTAGGGCAGGGTTTCTTAACCTGTGGTTCATGAACCCCTAAGGGGTCCATGAGTTTTATTTTGGGGATCCGCTGACTACTCCTAATTTTTAAAACGTTTGGAAGCCTACCTATTGCTTGTAAATCGAACTATGGCAGCTATAATTCCGTTTGCTACTGTGTATCCTTGCGAAGCGGGATTTTCCACACTTGTGACAATAAAAATATAACATCGAAATCGATTGAATGTTGAACATGATATACACGCTGCTTTGTCGAAAATCATCCCCCAATTAAATTTACTAATTAAGGAAAAGCAGCAGCAACCTTCACATTAAACATTTTAATTTTAAAAATTTTGTATACTATTAAAATAATAAAATTAAATTTTTTCTAATAATTGATGTTTTTTGCAATTATTTTTTTTCACAGTGGGGTGGTCCATGACTTCTTAAAAATTTTTAAAAGGGGTCCATTATATCAAAAAGGTTAAGAAACACTGCTCTAGGGGTACTGGATTGGAGATCGATCGTTCTCTGATTCAGGTCAAAATTACGATCTGTGGATCCGCCTTTTATAAACAGGTGTGACGTATGATCTGGCGAAGTCGAATTCTTGGCCATAGATGGCGCCACTGAAATACAAGAATCGCACATTCTGCCTTAAATTTGCTCGGTTTCACCAAGCAGGCTTGCCCGTGTGGCATTAGAACCAACTATATATTGATTTTCTGAAAATATTTTATTTTATAATTTGTATCTTAACCTATTGTTCATTGTTTAATTTCTTCCTTAACATTAAGTGCATGTTAGAGTTTCCTAATTTTCCAACCTGCAGATCTCGTATCTTAACTTGTAGGTACTAACAGTTCGCTTTTTTTTTTTTAATTAGCACAAAAATTTTATATGTTTATCATTAGTAGATAATTAAAATATAAATCTTAGTTCATAGAATTATCTTACACATGTAGTTTGTTGAACTATTAGTAAAAAAATTTTTTGAAATCAAGTTATTGCATTTAAAATGTTCAGCTATTTTCGAATATAAGTAAGGTCTTACTTTTTGACGGTCCCGATTCGCGATGATTCCATTGTAAATTCACGTCGTTTTCCGACTACGTAATTTCCTGATCTTTTCTTTCTTTAAGCCATTTCCACATGGTTTTTCGAATTCCGATATTATTAATAAGATAATTACTGGAATTTTGAATTTGAGTATTAATTTTTTAAGCACGGTTATTCCATCGAAAATCAAAGTCTTTTTTGCAGCAGCTATCAATCGTATTTTCGGTCACTTCACGTTTCTTTGAAATTAATTAAATTAATAATTTTTTAATTCACTCTCGAATTTCGAACTTTTGTAATCATACTATTCTGTCATCGTCGTTTTTCGATCATTTTATGGTACTTGTTAGCATTTGCTTGCCTTTTTTTTCGGCAGACGGTATTATTTTTTCCCTGTATTGTTACTTGGTTTAGATTTCGAGAATAACTTAATTTTTAAAAATTGTGGTAGTGCTTAAAGGAATACCAACTGTTCCAGCCAAATTTATGCTATTAAGCTGGTTATTCGATTAAAAGGGGAGTACAATATTCAATCTTAAATTCGGAATTGGTGCGGAATTTTACTTTTTAATGCATAGTATAGCGTTTTGATTAAATAAACTCAGTTTTATGATCAATAAGTAATTATAATTAAAAATTTCTGCCTTAGTATCATAAAAAAATGTCATTTAAAGTTACATAAAAATAAATCAATGTTAGTGAAAAGTATCATGTAGGAACTAAAATATTATTTGATCCCATCCGAAAAATTATATAATTGAAGACTGTTTTTTATACCCGTTTATTTATTAATTTATCACAATCGGATATTTCCTTTTAGTTTGTACTAAAATTTTCATGACTTGTGCGTGTTCCTTTCAAACACATTCAGAATTTTTTTTTAATCTTCGAAACTTGAGAAATTCCTAATTAATGCGCTATTTTAGTTGGAGATTTTTTTGAAATTTATTGTTTCTAAGATTCATTGTTTGTTTTTTTTCGATTAATTTAAATCATTCCTTTTCGAGCTCAACTTGCAACCAACTCAAAATTATTCACTGGATTAAGCAATCTACATAAGAGAAAGACACTCTTTACACTAGTGTATTAGATTTTTTAAACTTTTTCTTGTCAAAGCTAATAGAGCATCTAGAGGGGACCACAAGTCTTGACCTAAAAACAAATCACTGTCCCTTTTTTACATATTAAATTATGAGTAAGTGAAGTAAGTCAAAGAGGGGGGAAACCCCCTTCGTTTAAAAAGGGGAATTCCTTTTCAGCTGGTGAAACATTTCTCAAAAATAATTTTTTTTTTTTCATTTCAGTACCACTTCTTTACACAATTAAGCGGGGGCAAAAAGTAATAAATAACCGTTTAAACGGGAAAGTTTAAGATTAGTTTAATATAAAATGATTTGGTTCCATTAAATTTTATTCGTATAAGCGGGTTATTCGATTATCCGAGGGGCGATTAAGTGGGGACGACTGTATTAATTGTCCTAATTATTATTTATATTCTGTTTTCGTATACATTAAATGGTATATTTTAAAGTTAGGTATTTAACCAGTTGAAAATTTCATTCTTGCTGGCCTAATGCCAGACGAACAATAAGGACCATGTTGTATAGTTCCTATACAGGTAGACAATCCTTTAAGGTTACCGTTAAATTCATTAAGTTACTCCGCCAGTGTAATTTTATGGCCACGAACTATTTTCATATTTCTTTCAAAAGTAGAAACTATTTTAGCACCTAATCTGCTTTCTGAAATCCTGGCCTCTAATATCATAAAGTTACCATTTACCAAACAGCTTTAATAAGTTGCATCTTTTGATCATAATTCAATGTTTCATTCTGATAAATTTAAAATTAGCTTAATAAAGTTTTAAAAAAATGTACCTGTTTTAGCTCCAATTAGATTATAAATCATAAAGATTACATGCATTTACAGTTACATTCCAGACAAGACAATTATTCTATTTTAACGTAATAAATGCTAGTTATCTTTTTAGCTAGAGTAATTGTAAATAGTTTCTAAACCGTAGATTTTTATATTTACTGTTATTTAACCATTTTAAACTATATGGTTATAAAGCAATTAAATTCTATAGGCCTGGTTAATTAACTGTACTAGGTGTATACGGTAACAAAACCGTTAAGTAAAGAAATTTTTCTCAACCGTAAACTTAACGGTTAATTGGATGAACAGACTGCTGCCGTTTATTTTGCCGTAATTTTGGAAAGAAATTTCCAACAGTGTGTGGGGTTTTATTTTATATTTAAAGGAATATATAATGTAATGTATCAACGATAAATATAAATTTTATGTGATTCACTATATTATACGTTTTATCAGTGGCGTTGCTAGTATGTACTGCGATATCAGACTAAAATTTTTTAAAAATTTATCTGGAAAGTCAGGAAAATTTATTGCATATCAGTAGAAACTCTGTTCCCGGTAACAAATAGTGGATCATTAGGAATTAAGATTTTTTTTATAGTATAGAGATTTGGGCACATTTCATATAAGGTGTTCTTTAAAGATCACCCTTTATACGAATTTTTAGAATCTATCAAATAGCAATATAGCATGCAGAATGAAAGTGATAAAGTATACACACTGATGGTCGCTAATTGGTATTTATTCCAGGTAAAACAGAAACACTTTAGAAACTTTACAAATTATTCTACGGAGAGGTGGATATGCTAATAAAGAAGACGGATATGATCGTGGGAATAGTTGAAAAACGACTATTCGAAACATTTTCAAGATCCAACCACCAATTAAACCTACATTGATGCTTATTACTACAGCCGTCCTCTATCGTACTTGGGTTAGATTTAGCTACTGTTTTTGTTTTTTCATTGGTTAAATATTATTTTAAGTCCCCCATGTGTATAATGTTTAATTTCGATAGGGTTTCCAAATATACATACTAAGGGCTGCACTTTCGGAACACGTTTAAAAAGATTCTTTAATAGAGTGATGCAGCCAATAGGGTCATTAATTAAAGTTAAACTCCGCCCAGTATATAGATATATTATATGATTTTTATTTTACGCTGTTAAAAATTTCGAAACGCGTTTAACGATAATATTACTCATATTTGCTGTAAATCTTAATATAGTGCTAAGTTGAACAGTACTATCATCACTCTTAAACTTGACTATACTACTTATATTTTGGTTCAATTTGAAATGGAAACATGGTTCAATTTAACATCTTATTTAAAATTTGCACCGTATTGTGGTAAAACATTGTAACGATCTTTCTAAGTTATTTTTACAAATTTATAGAACTTGAATTGTTAAAAGTATATGCAATTAAAAAATTATCGGACATATATTAATGGAGAAAAAAAAATTCAAATCTATACTACTAGTTTATTAACATTACTATTTTGTTGTTATATTGCTTTCCTTTACATACTTCCTATCGTAATTATGTCTAGGCCATGTCATATATTTTTTTATTCCCTTCTAGCTTATTTATACAAATTTTACACGAAACATTTTTATTTCACCTAAAGTTGTACTTTACGAAAGTTAACTTAAAAAGCGTGGCATCACGTTCGCCCAGTCGCGTTCAATGTAACACGAAAACCTATTAGATCACCAAGAGTTACTAAGTTGTGTCCAAGGACCATTTTCTAAACTACAAAATTACCCAATCCGACGACGTTGCGTCGAAAAGTGACCACCTCCTTACTTTGCGTGTTACGATTTGTGGGAAAAATTCCACATGTCCAGGTAAAAGGTATACTCGCAAATCGATGTTACTAGAATTCCCTCCTTTGCCTCTTTTAGTATTTAACGATTCCTATTGGTGGAGAAAATCAGCGGAGAGCGTACGATTGGTTTAGATTCTGTAGTATGTGCCAATAATAAGTGACCACTATTTTCATTTCAGGCGTATTTTAAAGTGGTGGTACTACCCCCCCCCCTTCTTCTCCCTTACGTAGGGAATTTGATTTTTAAATAAGATGCTCGAGGGAAAAATACTATTTATTATATTCGGGGGCTGTATGTATTTTTCATAAAAAATTAATTTGGTTACCATTTTTTTTCCGAAGATATGGGAATAAGAAATATCGTTTTCAAACAGATTGAATAATAAATTTTATTGAAGTTGAAGCTGATCTCTAAAATTACAGGAATTAGAAATATTAGTTGTATAGAAGTTATTATACTACGTATTCGACATTTTTTTAGAAGAAATAGAAAAGTACAAGTTAATTACTGAGAAGAAACCATAACATTGCGAAGTTTAATTAGAAAATTCCATTTTAGCTATTCAAAATCTTTTTGAAAAAATAAATGTGCGAAATATGTTTAACTACTAAACGAAAAATCTAACCAATTAATTAATTAAGACTAAACCTATTGTTATATTCTAATAATTAAGATTTTCCTGATTTTATCTTTATTTTATTTATTAATTTTTGAACGGAAAAAATGAATGCTACCTTAAAACTCAATTTCACGAATATGAATATTTTATTTTCGTTCGCCATTTCTATCAAATTAGTTTATTTAGCACTGTACAGAGCAGTAAGGCGAAGATGTATGTAAGAAAATATATAGTTTTTTTCTTCTTTTTTTAGTTTCGTCTTTTAAGAAAAGTTCATAAATTAAAAAACTCGAAAAAGTTAAATAAAAAAAAAGTTCGAAGCGAAAAAGTTCAAGAATTAAATAAAAGCAAGTTTTAAGTGTTTTGTTTATTTATTCATTTATTTGTTTATTTATTTATTTATTTGAAAAAGAGTTGAATTTAGCTTTTTGATATATGATTGATATACTTTGATATATGGTTGATACATTTGATGATGATTTGATATATTTTGTTAAATCTTTGAATTTGGCAGATAACAGGAAGTAAGATTCCAACTGTATTTGGCAGTAAACAGTCAACGAATAATTTTCGAAAGCATCTTTTTTTAGAAAAATGAGTAGTTAGTGAAATTATTAAACTATGTATAGTATCAAAAAATGCTGTAGTTTTTATTTTTTTTTTCTTCACAAGCACAAATCGACCGACTTGTTCAAAGTTTGTATTTTATGATTTAGAAGTATGAAATGGGGTACTATTTTCTAATAAAAATATACTTAATTTCTACTAAAAACATAATTTTCTTTGGCACTAAATTACCTCTAGATAAACGGATTTTATTAATGTGTGCAAAAAATTTTTTGATTCACTGAAAAACTACCCGAGATATACACAAAAAGTATAATTAATCGAAAGTAGCGCATTTTTTAACCACTCTCCTGTCTAATTGGGACCATGTTTTCAAGATTCCGCCAATGCCCAGGTTCCAAAATCCAAATCCGTCGGGAAAAAAGGTATGTTAAATCAGATTAAGAAAGATTTTGTATCTGATGCAAAAATGTCACTAACACTTATTAGTTCGCATTTTTAAGGTCTTCCCTTTGAATCATTAAATTGGCACAAAAATAATAAACATGCTGTTTAAAATATTAAGGTCAAATTTAACAGCCTCAAATTATTGGCAAGTAATTTAGTATTTTTTTATCATTAAAAATTTCGTATGAATTATGAGTATGGAGAGCGTATCGTAATTACTACCCTTAATATATATATTTAGATTCGTAGTTAAAAATAAATTTAAAAAAAAAAAGAAGAAAAAAACAGCAAGCATACACATTCAAGAACCTAAAATAATACTTAAGCGAGAAACAAGCAAAATCTCTATCGAAATCTGCTGAATAACTAGGAGATGAAAAGTGTCAAAACCAGTTTGATTATCTGGTGAAACAGGAATTGTTTCTAAAGTGTTCTCCATTACCTCAGGTAATTAGACATGTTTTGATGTTTTTAGTTATTTCTTCTTCAGTAGTAATACGTCGAATCTCAATTCCGTTTTTGCATCATCGCTTAAATAAAGGTTTTTTCAGAATACAGGGTGTTCGGTAAAGACCACCCTTAATGTGTATTTTTAGAACTTTTACCAAAATGAAAAGAAAAAATATGTACTAATGGGGGATCATAAATAAATTTTAAACTGGAAAAAAATTTTAAACTATCGAAATCTAAAAAATAATAATAGAGGAAGCTGGTATAAGTAACATCAAAACATGTTTAACTGGAAGTTGAATCCTACAATCGAACTTTTCATATTGATTATTACCTACACTTTCCTGTACTGTGATTTGTCAGACTTTTATAATGTTTTTTGCGTTTTTCTCGGTTGAATACTAATTTGAGACCCTCCTCTCTAGGTGTATACTTTTTTTTGTTTTCTTGTCTTTGATAACGATTCTGAATACATATTAAGGGTGGTCTTTATGGAACACCATGTATTTGCGATGCTTAATACGTGTATACCTTTTTTATTTCCTTTCTTGCAAGAATTCAAAAAAATATTTGTAAACAATAGTCAGTATAAAGTCTGACCCTGTATAATCTTAATGAAGCATTTATTTCTTGTGCCATTGATAATATACAAATTGTTATTTTTCCTTCTAATTTTCAAGTCTAGGTGAGAAATAGTTTCCTGCGTACAAGAAAAACCAATATTAAGTTCATTTAATTATTTATCAATTACTTAATTTGTTATCAGTGAATATTCTATTAAATACAATTGTTCTCGGAATTTCAAACAATTTTAGATATATTTTAACTACGCTGTTTTGAGAAATCACGTACACTGTGCTTAATGAAATTTTTGACAAGGTTAATCCATGTATAAAATTTTATTTATTGATTGATTTACTTTTTGCTGCAAGAATTACATTATAGTTCAATTAATTGTCGCATTAAATTTGAAGTACACTATCGCTAGAAATAGTAATTATTAAAAAAGGAATTCAAAATAATATTGATAAGTTTAAGGGGATAGAGGCCAAAAAATTACACTTCTTTTAATTTTCAAACAGCAAACCTACTTTTTTTCCTTCTATTTTTTTTTATTTATTTATATTCTATTTTCCTATTTAATAAATAATGTTAATAATCATTGTAAATATCAATAGTCTGCATTCATTATCGAAAGTTATTAAAATCTTCTTTCCTTTTGTACTTCTAATAAATCGAATAATTATTTTAAAAATATCTAATAAGATAGATTTATGTACGAAGAAAATAAAACTATCTTTCATTAAATAAAAGGCGTTATATGGAGAAATTCCCTAAAACACAGGTGAAACCAACAAAAAAAATTCCCTTCTACTGTCCGGTGATAGTGGAACTTCTGTCCACTCTTTCGACTGACACCGGTCACGCATCGTAAAATGGCGCAATAATAAGAGAAAGAGTAAATAATAAATGAAGGGGCAAGTCCCCCCACCAAACCAATTTTACCCCTCCTTTCGACCAATCTGCGTAGCCCCGAGTAACTCGGCATAGATTTCGGTGTTTGATCCATGTGACCAAACAAATGGTGACAACTCATTAAACATGAGGCCAGGGGTTCATAGAATCATTACTTGTTGGAACCTGTGTAATGTCACGGCAATCGTCAGCATGGAGCAAATCAGAACTTTTTTGTATCTTTATTGGGTCTTAACACACACAGCGCGATATCGAATACTATGATTTTTATGTCATTCTGATATGACAACACTAGTCTTGATTTAATAAATATTTTGCTGAATGATTGGCGTATTACAGGAAAACAGTTTGATGTAGTTGAGCTCTAAAAATTTTTTAAGCTTTATTTATATTTCGGAAAATGTCCCTTGCAAGTTTAAACTATATTAGCCTTTATTAAACTGCCTTGATATTGAACACGACTGTTTCAGCAACAGAGAATAGTGCTTTTTTCTATTTATTATTATTATTAAAAACCATTCATTTTAAACGGAATAGAACATCACATTAGAAAAACGGAACAGTACATCGTATTGAAAAACAGAACAACGCATTAGAAAAGAAAATTTAGCTTCAAAATTTTAAGCTGTTTTTATAATTTTGAATATCCATTTAAAAATTAATTTTTAGTATTGCAATGATTCTATAAAATAGATGAAATGTTCTCATATTTCATACAACTATTTTGCCGTTAAGATTTAATGGCACAGTACTCGTTTGTCAAAAGAACAAGCCTGTAATGAACAAAAACTTTAAATATATGACCACCCAATATTTGACTTTATATTGTATTCAATAAACAAAATAATATTTCGAGTGAGGAAGTCTAAAATATTAAACCTAAAGTATAGAGTAATAAGTACACATGTTGACCATGGATACCTCTGCAGACAAACAAGAAAACAATCCGAATTTTTGCAATCATCTAATGGCCTCAGATGGACCATCTCGCTATTTGCCACTGTTTGAAGCTGGATTTTGGCCTGGGCCAACCACACTATCACCTTTCCTGATGGGTTCAATGGGCAGAGATATTCCACCTTTCTGGCCAGTTCCATGGCTCCCACAATTATGGCCATCAGCAACGCAAAATGTGAAACAGGACTCAATAAAACCAATGGTACCATCCACGCCGGTAGCAAGTCCTAGTGTTGAAAATTCTCCACAAGCTTCCAATGAATCTACGGAGCGAATAGAACAATTAGGAACAGCATTTAGATCACCATCTTTAAGTGTCAGTCCTACGCTGAATTGCACAACAAATATCAATGGACATAGACCAAGAACAGGAGCTTTTGTTGATCCACTTTTGGCACTGACATCCATGGATGGTAAGTTAAAATTATATCAAATTATTTTTTTCTTCATGAAAGCTAATGTTGGAAACACCTCATTGTTTAATTGTCAAGAACTTTTAATAATCATTTTGGTATTTGAACTATATTTCAATCTACACTCGCAAAGAAAGAATTTATTTACCCTGAACGCTTTAAATATCAAACATTTTTAGCAGTTTTTTGTGTTGCTACAATAATAATAATAATAATAATCGATTCGTTTTTAAACATCAATTTCCATACATAAATAACAGAACGCCGTAGTCGTAAATTTGGGCAATTACTGAAAATTTTGATAAATTTTTATATTTATTAAAGAATATAGCAATCTGAATAAAAGTAACAGCATTAATTTATATTTAAGCGTTAAGGTTTCAAAGTATATATCAATAAGTATAAAGTATCTTTTACGTATGAAACGAAAATAAATATCTTATTATTTAAATAAGCATCTTCAGTAAAGGTGAGATATTTAATAAGTGTTGAGAATAAGGAACTGTAGCCATTTTTGTATTTATTCAATTACTAGAAAAAAAGTAGTCAAGAAATTATTGAAAAAAAAAGTTATAATTATAATAAATATAAAAATAAGTATAATTTTTCATACGACAGAGAAATTGACTGATATTTACAATTGTAATTATTAATTGTAAATATCATCCAAAAAATGAAATTTTAGATATTTCTTTTCATTCCTTTAAAGCTGTTCTATCATAAGGGATATAATCCTTTCTTGAGATATCAAAAATTATTAAAATAAAAATTATTTTATTAACATTTATATTTTTGTTTAAAAATTTTTTTCATGAGTACAGTTCTCAAACACAAAAACTTATAGCCCTTGAATAATTTACTAATGGTTTGACAAACTAAATTATTTAAAAAAAATTTTGAGAATAATCCGAAAAATATAGAGGAAAATAAAATAATATAAGAAAAATCATGTATAAATTTTATGAATTAGATATTATACAATAATATGCAGTAAAGGATTAAAAAATCTGAAAGCGTGCTAGCTCGGAAGTATACGAGCAATTGAAAAGCTAAATAGTTTGACATGTTAAGAAGTATTTGTAAAGCTAATTAAGGAAGCTTAACTTTATAATGTAAAGAAACAACAAGAAATTATATAAAAACTTTTATAAACATCAAATAGAGTGTAGTTTTAAAATATAATTTTCAACATATATGATTGTTTACATTTAAGACAGAGTTGTGCTAAGCAATAGAGCTCTCATCAATAATTTCATTATAAAAGCGATATGAAGCTTATCAGTAAGAATTACGAGTAAAGGAGTTTTTTTTTTTTAACTCTCCAGCAATGTTGCAGGGTTTTTCCCATGAAATATATCTAGACCAAGAAATATACCATACTATAAATATACCAAGAACATACACCTTTCCATTCATGGTCATAATATTTTTTTCCCATTGTGTTGATTAAATTTTAGTAAAAAGAGTAAAATTCATGAAATTCATCTATGCATTATTATGTAAGAAATTTAATAAGATTTATTTTTTTGTGCATGGCCTAAATTTTTATGAGTTATTTTTTATTTTGATAGTTCGAATGAACGGAATTTCTGATTATGTGCAATCTAAAATTGAAACTTCTGTAAATTGTTTTAAGCAGCAATTTGTTTTTATGAAAAAGTTAATTAAAAACATATTTAAACGATTTTAAATATGTGACTGCTTCCAGAAAGTTTTATTTTTGCAAAAAAAGAAAAGCAAAGGACAAAAAAAAAATGATTTATAATAGATAAAAATCGTTTGTTTAGATAAGTCTATAAATAAATACAACTGAACTTTAAATAATTAAAAACATTTAATATAATTCCGAAGTATTCAAAATCACCAAAATCCCTTTCGTGTGATTTCTCGTGCCACTACAAATTAAACAATTAGCGTTGAGCATCTATATTTTGCCTCGCATCAATATTTTGTCTAGAAAAATTTTGTACAAATAAAAAAATTTGGAAGTTTTAAAAATTTGAATTAATTTAACGGTGTGCCGGTGGTTTATAAAGTTTAAATTTCACATTTTCAAAAGTACATACGTAAATAATTATACAGGTAAGAAGGTGATGAATGTGCTACCATAAGTTTTTGAGTAAACCATAAGTTTTTGAGAATTTCAAAAAATATCTGCGTCACGAAAATATGTACAGATAGAGCTACAAATTTAGTTTTTGATGCACATCGCTTAATCTAAAACCAGGGGTTTATCTACATTTATGGATCAATAATGTGAGAAGATAAAATAGATTATAAATTGTATTGCGCGTAAAAGAAATAAACAAAAATTTGTCTCGATTAAGGCAGCAAAATTCCCTGACTACCGTCACGAATCCCGCGTAAAAATTCTCTCCGTCCGTCAAACAGTTATTTCAGGAGGAAACGTTAACAAGAGGGAACAAAGGGGCACGTGCCCACTCAATAATTTGCCAAAATGCAAATTTTTCGGCAGTTGATTGCGCACAAAAAAAAGTTTTTTTTTGTAACTGAACGAAAATTAAGTAATTAAGATTATTACATCCACTATTGTATTTTTTTTTTATTCATATATTTTACCGCTTATTATTTTTCCTTTTTTACTTAGTTTGGCTTAGTTTTGCGTTCTTAAAAGATAAAAAGTTACTAAAAGAGGAAGAGATTTTGAATTATTGATTTAATAATCGTCTGCTTTAAGAAGCTATTTGGGTATTTTTGTTCCATGTACTAAATCGTGGATGTTGGTAAAAGCAGCTGTTTGACAAGCAGGTGAAGTGAATATCTGTCCATTTTTTAAAAGGGTAAAAGAGGTTGTTGATTACTAATTAAAACTTCGGTAATGCACCCATTTTCTGAAATGTACTCGTCCATGAGTTTGATTTTTCAAAACAAGAACGTTTGTTTTATTTAAAATTTGAATTTCAACGCTCGTAAAGAAAAGTCGTTTGCTCCTTTAATCGTTTACTCTTTTCTTCCATTTTTTTCAACAGAAGGAATTAAAGTGAAATATTTTTATTTTAAGTTTACAGAAAAAAAATATTTATTTAAATTGCATTAAGGTCTACTATCAGAAAAAAATTTTATTGCACAAATTTATAGTTACTTTTTATAACTAGTCATTTTTACAGCTATACTTACTTATTTCATCTGGATAAGGCATTAGTTAGTAAATGTTTGTTGGCATTAGTTAGTAGATGTTCAAAACAAAACTGGGCGTTAATAACAATAATAATTGCTGAAGGAATAAGCCTGCAGATGGTAGGGAATAAATAAAATCCTGTCCTTTCAATATAACAAATATCGCCATAAAAAAATAATTTATTTATATTAAACTCTCAAATTAAAGCTTCTATGAGAAAAACTCATTACCATACAATCATTTATACTTAAGGGAGGAATAAAAGGGCATAAATAACTATAAATATTCATAATTTAATCTAAACAGTCACTAATTTAGCCAAATGTTTGAATTAAAATAAAAAATGAAGTGAAAAATGTCTTGGTGTTGCTCGTAATTTCAATTTCGACTTTTTCTTATTGTTTTTATTGATTAGGGTTTTGTTTATTTGACATTTTTTCCCCTTTGCTTGTATATTTTTAATGTTTTCAAGTTTATAAGTAGTGCACTCCTTATGTATGAAAGAGTAAATTTAAAATTGTTTGGGAAATATTGTTTTCAGCATAGCTCGAAAATTAAATTTAACGGCTTGCCCGTGATATGCATTTTTAACCTTTATATGCCCAGCCAGAACATGTAAATATTTACCAATATCGTAAAGTACTAATTGATCTCCCCTCAAATTTTGAAGAAATCTTCGGAAGGGGCGAATCAAGGGCACAGAAAGGAAAGACTACAAATAAAATCGATTATATTTGATGAGACCTACTTGTTACTGAATTTAATTAACTATATAAGAATTTTTAAACAAAGTTTTATAATTTTTTGCTTCTCTAGTATTGCTTATATTTATTTAAAAAAAAGTTTATAGTTACATAATCTAAACGCACACATTTAGTGCCTTGTGTTTAAGAGTTTGGCATATTTTTGAATAATTTGATTCTCATGCGCAAAAACGTCAGTTGTCATATTTGTCTAAAAACTAAAGTAAATAATTGTCTTATTTTTTATCATTATTTTTAAATAAATATTTTCGTTTTAAAATGCCTTTCTTCTTAATTTAGAATATTTTATTTTTGAATAGTATGGCTTAATATCACTTACTTTAGTTCATTCACTCCCTAATGTTAATTAAAATGATTTGAAAGTTGCTGTCTTCTTTTGAAATTAATTTTTCTTATATCTTCTGTAATATTTAAAAAATGATAATAATACATCAAAAATAAAGTTTCCTTCTTTTCGAAGCTATAAAAGTCAATAATTCCATATAATATGCAAAGACTGTGTTTTCAAATCTATTTTTTACTTGAAATCTGGAAAAGCTCTTATGACAATTAGAGCAGGAAATAACGAAACAATTAATGTAACCTGAATTACTCAAAATGTTGACCAATCATTTTGCCAAATCTTCAAGAAGAAGAATTTTAGTCTAGGTTGTTTCCTGTGTCAAAGCATTTAGTAAGGGCTGAAATTGTATGTTTGGTGTTTAATCTAAGCAAAAATAGCTTTATAACTCATACAATACCATTTTCATACTTCATTCATACATTCATATCATTTTTTTTCCGGTAAAGGATGTTTTGTTATGAAAAAACTAAGTTTTCCCCCTCTGAGGCGTTGAATTTGGATCCAAGATCAAAATAAACATGACCAAAAATAGGATGTTTTTGCGATTTTTTGAAGATATATCAAAAACAACGCTCTGTATTAAAAGAATGTCGACGCAAAAGTTGTCGATCGGTAAATTTCACATAAATTGACTACCATTTTATTTTTTACTTTCTAACCATCGTTGAACAATTTAGGGTTTGCGACTACTAATGTTCAACTCCGTAGCCTTGAATTTTGAACCCAATCCAGAAGACTAGGGAACTCCTGGATC